TCACCTCTACCATCTGCCACATTTGGGATGTTTTCGACACTGAGTAGACAGGGAGTGGGTTGCCCCCATCCATAACAGCCCGAACCAAAATCAGTAGTGAGGAAAAAAGAAGAAGTAAAAATACGAAACCGCCAAGATGGGGTGGGATCAGTCTGGGCGCTCATGTTCTGTCTGATATGTAAGTTCCAGCACGCCTATCCAGGCGAAAAAGTTTTTAATTAAAAATATTAACATTTTTTAGACCGTATAGCAAACATAATGAACTGATTATTATTCAAGATTGCTCGCGTCACTTATGACAGCTACGGTTACATGTGGCCCACTTTCAAATGAACATACAGTCACTGTTCTCATATAACCACCCACGGTGATACAAATATTGGCCAAGTCGTCGACCGACATAACACGACGGTATTTGGTCTCGGATGACTGGAGAACTACGGTGAATCAGTCAACCCTATATGACTATCGCGACCTTTGAGACAAACGTGTCTCAGCAGTCCAAAACAACGATTGCAAAGCTTACACCGTGTTCTCGCGCCGACAGGACAAGTAGGCCTGTTATAATATCCTGGAATGACCGCGGGCCTGTACATAAACCACCGTCTTATGTCTGGTTCCGCGTGCAGTCAGTCATGGCTGATGAGGTGACAATGCCGGGATTAACTACAGACGATAAGTGGATATGACATTCTTTATCAAATTATTACATATACACACTACATAAAAAATATGATATTGATTAATGTTTTATGCTGAATTAATTCAATGGAAATTGAACTGGGATTATTAACATGTTAATATCTATGTAATTACGTAAATTAGTGATAAAGACTTAATGTCATGACATTAACTTTGTGTGCTTCGGGCTGAAGCCTCCTCTTTACTCACACGTGTGTTGTTGTTGTGATAGTGAGTGAGTGAGTTTAGATAGATTAAAATTAAGATGTACGTATGGTGCTTAATTATATAATCAGGTGTCATTCGATAACTAATCAACGGAAAGGTGAAAGAAAATTATGTACACGTAGCTGAAGAAGATTTCCAAGATGTTTGCACAATATCAAAATAAAATGACTACTACTCAATTTATGAAAATTATTCTTGCAAGAGTTAATTAACATGTAAATCTATGGAAATTTTACTAATGATGACTCGCTTATGGCCAAGTACTGTATGCATGTAACATGTAATATATAGGGTTCAGTGGATAACAAGCGGCAAAGTGCACTTGTTTTCCATGCAACCCAACTACTTACAACACAGCAAATAGTACTTGCTTACTGTCAACGCTGTTGCATGGTATAGTTGTACATCTGTATACTTATTGTCATGCAGTTGTTGTTCGGTTAACTAAGTGAATTAATTGTAATTATAATTTAGCAGTACCACTAAGGTTATCTGACACGGTTCCAATTTGGCGTCTCTCGAGTCAGAGTCTTTAGTCAATCTACGTAAACTCACTAATCCATGTCTGTTGTGGCGAATGTACTACACCTTACGTGTAACGTAACGCATGAAGTGTAAACGGATAATATGATTATTATTATAAAGGCATAACTTGCCCTGAATTTATAAGAGTTTACACCTGAAGAGGCATATCTCATTTGGTGCTAACAGTGCTATGTCGTCAGCATAAAACAAAATTGATAACATTTCATCATCAAGAGGTATACCACAGTCCATGTCTCTTATTTCGGCTGCTAAGTCGTTTATGTAAATGGAAAAGAGAGTTGGAGACATTCTACAACCTTGTTTAACACCTTTTGTGACATTGAAGGAGTCAGTTATGTAGTCATTTACACGTACCGCACACGTCTCATCTTGGTACATGGCTTGAACGGCATTATACATCTCAGTAGTAGTAGTAGTAGTAGTAGTAGTAGTAGTAGTAGTAGTAGTAGTAGTAGTAGTAGTAAAATGTTTATTAAAGTGTCACACGCACAACATTTACAGTAAAATACAGAATCACATAAAACAGTTTAAAGGAAGTGCGTCCAGCCATACATGGGCTTACGAGACACTATAAATATATTATAAGTACATTAATGGTACACACATGATAGAATATAATATGGGAGATAGAAATTTAGGCAGATTGTAGATAAGACACACTGATAACAACAACAGACTCCTCGATGAAACAACAAAAGAGAAAGAAAAAGAATAACAGGAGATTCTTAAAATAATCATGATAAATTAAGTCCAAAAATGAAAATGCATAAATTAGATATACATTGTATATATAAAATTAACATTATTCCGCCATTGCCGTCTTTTAAACATTTTATAAAGTGCATTTGCTAATTCTTTTTGTAAAACATCGGAATTCATTATATTAAACAATTTATCTTCATCACAAAGGTGATTAAAATTACCGTTGCTTTCTGCAGCTGCCTTAAAAAGGTTAAATCTAATGTCTTTATAAAAAGTACATTGGATCAAAAAGTGAAACTCATCTTCAATAAAATATGTACAATCATTTTTACAATATTTACATAGCCTTTCTTCAAGTGGTATAGAAGGCTTGGTATATCTACCCGTTTCAACATACAATGGTAAAATTCCACACCTAAACTTAGCTAAAATACGACGATGGTCTCGAAAGATAACATTTTTTACATAAAATTCTACAGCATGGGAGACCTTAAACTTTCTGTAAGTTCGTAGCTTATTCTCATTAACATTACCGTCATCATCCCAGAGCTTAGCGTGCCATTTTAATACGTCCTCATGCATTAAAACTTCTTTAAAATATTTTACACAAGATTTAGTTTCCCAATTATTATTTAACAAATGGGCACAGTTATATTGTCGAACGATATTCATTAACTTGTTATCCCAAGAGGAAGGAATCCCATTTGCCCATCGATGAATTACATATGGCAGCTGATGTTGCTGCAAAGATTTCAATCTTAATAAATATCTGAAACCCTCTACCTTTTGTCTTACAGACACTGAAAACCATCCCATGTCCCCTCTAAGTGCAATAACAGGCGCATTCTTACTTACACCAAGAAACATTCTACATGCTCTATTTTGTACAACTTCTACTTCCCTGTAATTGTTCATACCCCATAAGCTAGAACCATAATATAAAACCGGTTCAACCAAAGATTCATACAATTTGGTAAAAACTTCATATGACATGCCACCAGCACAAATAAATATAGTATACAGAGCAGATAATGCTCTACTAGCCGCTTTACAGAGCTCTTTAACAGTTTTATGCATATCCATATGTTCGTTTAAACACAAGCCAAGATAACGGTAAACACTGTCATACATGACAGGGTTATTATCACAGGAAAATTCATAACAAGATCGGGAGACAGATTTGTTTCTAAAATGTACAACTTTTGTTTTATCATTATTAATACTAATACGGCATTTAAAACACCAATTGCTAACTGTATCCATCATTTTCTGGAGGCATATCTCATTTGGTGCTAACAGTGCTATGTCGTCAGCATATAACAGAATTGATAGCATTTCATCATCAAGAGGTATACCACAGTCCATGTCTCTTATTTCGGCTGCTAAGTCGTTTATGTAAATGGAAAAGAGGGTTGGAGACAGTCTACAGCCTTGTTTCACACCTTTTGTGACATTGAAGGAGTCAGTTATGTAATCATTTACACGTACCGCACACGTCACATCTTGGTACATGGCTACTATTGAACGGCATTAACCCATCTTTGATATGGCTAAATAGTCGCATACATGATCTATTATGTACATGTTTACAAAAGTATGCCATTGCCTTTGAAGATTGCTCACGTGTCACAGCAACCGAGGACATATCGGTAGCACAGGACGAACACTTCGTTAACCCGTTTGCCTTGCCATTGATTACCCGGCCCTGTTGCTAACTCCAGTGACCGATGTCTGTGCCCCCATCATACACATCCGTGGTTGTGGACAATGGCAACACGTTCATCAGGAACCTGCATCTAAAGTACACGCTATTGTTATCACAAATACATTGATAACAGGTCAGGTGCGTGGATATTTTTATAGTCACAGAACAATACCTCAAGGTCTTTGGGTGGCTCTTAGGATTGATACACGCGAATAATCAAACCTATGAATGTCATGTTCTCTAGCTATAACGAGGAATACGACGAGGAACATATCCAGAAACGTCGGGTTCCTCACAATACAAAGGTTTACTTCCATACATTTGATACTTTAACACATGGACGGGCTTCGAGAACACATTTCAAAGTGAACTGATATTCTAAACTGGACAGGATATTGATCTTTATGACAAGATATAAATTTGAACAAAAATTCATTCATTCATTCATTCATTCATTCATTCATTCATTCATTCATTCATTCATTCATTCATTCATTCATTCATTCATTCTACACTGGACATATAACTGTTTGGCGAAGACATCAACAACACATCAAGATCGTTTAATGGCTCTAAGAAGTGATACACACGAAGCAGCATTTCTGTATTATCAGAAATACGACTATAACTATTTTAAGAGGGCTGTGCCACATTAAAGCTTGTTCATCTGATGCTGTGCACTCAGGCAATCACAGTCAACGGTTTCTACGCTCTTGTTTATAAAAGCACACGCGCACACGTGTGCTCTCAGACTAATTACGTTAATATATATTGCGTATCCCGCCAGCAAGCCCGTGCCCAGGGACCCTTGCATGGGCGACTGAACAGGTCAGTTGACCTCAACAGCCAGTTGCTACAGCAACAGAAGTTATCGTCAACAGCCTTCTTGCTGCATGCTTGAACGCTTTCACAACATGAGCAGAGAACCCAGCGTGTAATCTGCTGATCACTTGCTGCCTAAGCATGTTGTATAAAAGAAACTTGGAGGCACACATGGAACTAATCAAACCAGAGCCGTTTTGTGACAGGATACAACAGGAATAACATCAACGACAACATGGTGTATCGTGAATTACAACCCAATACAGGCAATGTGTAGACATGCACAAGTTGGATACAATCGTATCAAAATACATACCTATTTCTTCCGAAGTTCACACCGAGAAACCATCCAGTGAATGTTGCAGGAAGAAGCCGTGACTAAAGTACATATACTCGTCCCAGTTAGAGCTCGATTCCTATGTGGAAACTATGTCAGCGTAAGGCTCATTCTACGCCGAGAGCTGAATGGTTGTGACTGGGCTCCCCGGGAAGCTTTAGATGCATGCAGGGGAGGGGCTTGTGGGGAGGAAGTGGATTCTTTCGGTCCGTTTGTATATGAAATGTGCACGTGGGCATATTTTAATGTTGCAGCTGATTATGCCACTTGTACGATGGTCAAATATTTATGAACGTTGGCTGCAAACAACTGCGCCCTGCCCCAACCATTCGGGTAAATATATGTCACAAAACCCTTTTCACTTCAATGAGGAAAACACTTTTTTCCTGATCTGTGGCGTAAAGTGTAGTCTCTGAAATGAACATATTTTACTGGAAAAAAACGTTTCTAAATTGGATTCATAATATAAAATAAAAAGGAGCCTATGGACTTTCTACATTTTTAGTAACAGCCGTAATCTAGACTTGCCTCGCAATACAGACTTCATGGGCTTTCATGGATATATTTGTTTGGGGATAGATTAACCGAAAGCTGCAATCCTTTGTAATAGGGCAAGCTTCTGCATAAGGATATAAACCTCTGTTAGTATTGTCCAGGACGCTACACCATATATATTTGATTACAATGATTTGGAAGATTTATTATGTATTGGCGATAACCGTTAGCGATAAAATTCCTGGAAACTAGAAGGGTAGTGCCCGTAAGAGGCGATTGATCCACAACGAAACTAAACACCGATAATTGGCATCTTAGATTAGATTGAAGAAAACATGTCGGGAACATATATTCTATAACTGTTAGTTTATCCCCCTCCTTACTCAATATATGGAACTTAAATCCAACCCATGATTAAATTTAAAACTTAAAGGAAACTTATCACCAGTAATTATCTCGTGACTAGAATACAGTGACATTTGTACACGGGTCAACTACTTGTCTCAGCATTACGCCGCTTTTAACAATATTCTAGCACGGAGTGGGACACCAGAAATATGCGTCACACATTGTACTAACGTGAGGAATTGAACCCGGGTCTTCGGCGTGACGAGCGAACGTTTTAACCACTAAGCTACCTCGCCACCCCACTACCAACTGAAGGTGTCTATTTTTTTGGAATCTAAAGCTGCCGCCCAAGTGGATGGTTCTTCTGATAGTATGTTTTAGAACCATATGCCTCTGTAACAGAAAGCTAAAATATATTCGAACCGGGGTGTTCTAACATTTATTTCGAAGTCAGGACATATTTAACGCTTGTAAGGTGTAGTATCAAATAAGATATTTAATGTTATATTTACCTTTGAAACACAGGATGTACCGCATACTGTGCCATATTTTGTATCTGCATACATTAGCACGTGTTACGGCTGATAGTCGATGGATAATAACCAACATGTCGTGCAATAACTCTCAATGACATGCCAGCATTCCAATACCAACTTGCCATTTTTGAGCAGTTCTCCCTTGCGGAAGCCTTATATTTTTTTTTATCAATAACAAAATCAATTGATTTTCCAAGTCACCGAGCTGCAAGACCAGTATACTGAAACTCGATTTTCTGCTAAATGATGGGTGCACATATTGCTTATAGCAAGTGCACATCTAAAATGAATGTAAGTTGCCCTCGAAGGGTCAAAATAATCGTGAAGTCGTGAAGACGTCCCCGATGACACGACCTGACATGTCTGTTGAACGGACCAAGTAATATAAGAATACCTATATAAAGGCTGAACCAATTTAGCAACTGTAAAACGTCCTCATATCCGCCAAACAAGCTCCTTCCTTCTGTCATACTAGAACTTTTAAAAATTATTTACAGTTTAGAGACTTGCAACTGGGATCGACAATTTTTACTTGAAAGCCAGTGAATAATGTTTAGATAATTTAATGGTATGGTATGGAACTTCCAACTCTTCATAAAACAAATACAAATATATAAGATTATTATTTGGATTAAGATTAGTTGGAGATGAACTGTTAGCCTTGAATTGTTTTTCGAACACAATGCTTTGGTCCCGAGTAAGTGAGTGAGTGACTTAAAGTTTATAGTCACATCGGCAGTATTTCAGCCATATCACGACTAAAAATAGTTATACATCCATGATAAATACAGTTAAATGTTTAAAAACCTGTCGACGAAGAACAGTAAAAATATCACAGAAGCAAGAATTAAGACTAGCATCTATCTGTATAATATGATATCAACCAGGACAATACAACATAAAAAAAACGGGCTCAGTATGGCCACGAACTGAAGATAGAATACCATACTAGGGGCCATGAGGATTTGCAGTACATTTCTTACCTGCATGGACCCTAGCTGGATTTACACCGTCCCTTCAACAGATTTTTTTTGGCCCCCGAAACACACGATACCAACCTCGATTCAGCTTTACACTGTGAAATACATGTACATGTGTGTTAGTGTCTATTTCACTGCCTCTATATTCTATAATAGGTTAATTTAATTCACCAGTACTTCATCAATTCTCACTTTTCCATTATTACTGTTGTGAACACGCACTTGGAAATCATGAAATACTGATAGGTTATTTTCCTTCATCTTTCAATCGTGATTTATTGATGTAATTTTGTCACACATGTAGACCCAATGACATTGGTAAAAGGGCAAATTTCTGTGAACATTCGAATTGACCTGAACGGACATGTGGCCCTATTCCTCTGCCATCTTTAAGTTATCATAATGTCAATGTGCAAATGTATGTACTTTACAAATGTCCGATGTTGGACCTTTCCATGCAATCAAGGCATGCGTTTTGTCTTGCGATTATATTAAGCTGAATTGTCATGAATAGAATCTCTGCTCACTTACCTACAAACCTATTTTTTAAAATGAAATCTCCTCGGTCACCATTGTATGTTTATGTATCAGAAGTTTAACACCGAACGATAATCACATAACTTGATTCTATACATTTTATGCTTATAGATGGACATAGTCACGTCACAATATAACACTGAAAAGAATGACGTCATACATATGTCACAGGACTAGGTACCGACAATATCTTTCATGTTGAGCAGTTAATAAAAGCCACAAACCCCTCTTCCTAGTCATCAGAAAAACCTGCCAGAGTCGACTGCACGATTTCGACCTCAGCAGGAGCATCTGACCTTATCTCTACCAGTGATGACATGGAGTGCTCTTGAAAAGTCGAGTTCAACCGTGCCCCACCGGTGGGGCTGCTATAAACACATTCAATGGCAGGCCAGTTATTCACCCTGAAAACACAGTATCACTCGGTACAAGAGTGAACGGGACTTGCGTATTTTGTAATTGTCAAGTCCAGAAAAGCAGTCAACACGTCGGAAGCAAAATATTTTGAAAACTGCATCAAGATCAGCACAGGGCACATTGCCAATGAAATTCAAGCATAACGTCTAGAACGTGAGGTATATTGACAGATATGGGGAATGAAATCCGATATATAAAACACAGACAACCATTCCCAATGCCATGTCGTCATGGCTGGAATGTATGTAAATAATCCTGTCATTTGTATCACTTTCGAAAAGTATTGAAACAGTGGAGGCATGATAGTTTTTGTTCCAGTAATTTTAAAAAAAATGCATTTTTCCTGTTAAAGTCAAGCACCACTAGATAGATAATGCCATGTTTGAATTACGACTTCATGGCAAAAACACAGGTACCTTTTCTAAAACACACATTTCCAGTGTACCCCGCCGTGCTTTTGTTGGCATGTTGCAACAACCGTCGTAAAAACTTAGGGACCGTTCATAATTTATGGCTGGTGTGTGTGTGTGTGTGTGTGTGTGTGTGTGTGTGTGTGTGTGTGTGTTCATGTGTGTGTGTGTGACGTTCATTATTATGAGAAGCATGTATAATGTGAATGACCCCCCTAAAATTTATGTACGAAGTCACTAACCCCCCTGCATGTCATGTACAAAATCAATGATCCCCCCATAATTTGTAAGCATATTTTGAAATATTTTTATGTACAAACTTGCTGACCCCTCTAGTACATACGCGTGTATGTACAAAATTGATGGGCCCCCTACCTCCCCAGAACAAGATGGGTGAACCCCCTTAAATTCATCATCACCCAACCGAACCATACATTTGGAAAGGTCCTTACTCACTCTCTCTCCTGATGGTATCGATCAAGATCGGACAGAACCACAAGCAGGTGAATAGTGGTGTGGGCAAGACACATCATTTGATCAACTTATCATAATTATCAAATTATTCATACTGGAATATTGAGGAAAGTAAATACAAATCTACCTGTATTCAAGAGATAGATACATACAATTAATAACAAACGTGCTATTTTGAAGTGATATTATTGGAAACTAAGTTGTATGATTGAAAACAGGATTTAGAAAATTATTTTATTACTGACCCCGTTGAAGATATCACTGTTTAATAAATCTACAATGTTATTCCATTGTGTAATAACATTGCGTGCTGCCGGAACTATTTGCACTCGGTCACATGACCAAAGTAACGTGATCAAAACAAAATGGCGGTTGTCATTCACAACACGTCTCGAAGTCGCGATATTTCAGACGTTTTATTTAAACTTGTATTTTTTTGTCGGCTTTTTCTCACCACAGCGATTGTACTAATGACCTTGACCTTATATGGAATGTGGCTGCCAAAACGCTGATCGCTTCAAAAGTTTAGAGCTGGCGCATACAATTATGAGTATAAACAGTAATGAATTTGTTGCCATAATTTCGAACGATTCTCTTGAATTTCCATGAATGCTCATAAAATTTAGGTTAGACAATTATTGAGTTTTATAGTAACGTTGTATATCTTTAAAATAAACTAAACTAAACTACCAACATATATTACATGTACATGTGTGCACAGTATGGCCTTGACGAAGCATTAAAAATATATAATATGACCACCTCAGCCAGCCCTTTACCGAATACAGGCAGCTAAACAGACCAAGCCCAGTTCCGCACAAAATGTCAACCGCTTGAAAATACCCGCGGTCACATTCAATACAAGTCGTCAGGTAAAAAGACAGCACTCAATATGTAAAAATCTAGTTAGTTTAAATTAC